CCCCCCCCCCCCCCCACCTTTCGCTGTCCCCAACATAAGCAAAGCCTTTTATCCGCCAGTGATTATGAGATATAATGTTTATCTCATCGCGTGATGAAATCTGCAAACACAAAGAGGGGGTGTCGAAGTCCTATATTCCATTAAATATTAACCTACAGTAGTGGCCAAAATTAACGACCCCGTGATACTGTTGCCTGATAATGTGTGGGACATAGGAGGACGACTTTGTTTGCGATAGCTTGTGACAGTGGATAGGTTTGCTGGACTGTGATGAGCCTCACGTTTGATTATCCAGAGAGGCTTACTTGCGCTGTGAGGTGTTGATATACATGTAGGGACAGCTCTTTTTATGCGCTAGGGAGATTTTTTTAAAAAAATTGACGACATCAATCTGTTAATGATTCGGAGACAGTCTTTATTGTAAATATTTGTAGCTTTCTGGAAAGAAATTAAAATTCTTTAACCCTTGTACACTGAAGAGGGGCGGATTGGCTACTTAGCCTCATAGTTGGCTGGATTATTTATACCTTGACCAAGAAAAATATTCACTCGTTTGAATATATGTGAAGATGTAATCTACGAAAAATTCCGACGACGGACAACGTGACAAACGCACAGTGTAAAAACAGGATCACATGACACACATGTGCCAGTTCAGATTGTAGAGTGATGAATTTTATAACTTGAGGAAACAATTTGCACTGTCACGTCATTTAAGTCACGCACGCCATTGATAGTGCAGAAAAAGATTTACTGGGTTTCATTGATTCTAATCATCATATTAATTCAATAAGGAGGAATTATCGACTGAGCAGTATGTATAGTGAAAACGGACATCGCCTGGGATCGTTTTTGGTCCACATGACCATTTCACCCCCAATACGCAACGCTACTGACGTAGGCTTCGTAGACATATTTTCTATTTCAGCCATCACGGCAGTGACAGCCATTCTCTCTGTCATAGGCTGCGCAATCATTATCGGCACGTACTTTTTCTTTAGCGACATTAGATCAACGAACCGAAGATTGTTAGTTTACCTCACTATAGCTGACCTGTTTACGGTAGCGGGAAATTTAACAGGGACGACCTACACGTGGTATAACTATCTGCACGACATTCCAACTCAGTGTCTGTCCCCGGAGAAAATCTGCGTTGTTCAGGCGTTCATCTCGACGTCATCGTGTCTTTCTTCGTTTATGTGGAACTTAGTGATAGCCTGGAGTGTGCAGAGAACCATCTTGAAGGGGGAGTACGTCTTGGACAGCCGACAGTGGTTTACTTTACATTGTGTGGTGTGGGGAGCGCCGGGTAAGTCCCAGTTGGCCTGTATACATGTTCAAAGCATGCTATTGGGTAGGCGTTCAAAAAAAATCCTGTCCTAGGATTTTTTTTAGCCTTTTGTTTATTTTAACCCAAAATAAATCTGCAGTAATCTCTTAAAATGTGCATTTTTTATTACAACAGAGAAGTGGCTAAAATGTTAGCTTGATTTTACTTCGTTCTTTTGATCAACTGCATATTTACCCTTAATCAAAGATCTTTTTCTTTCTTAATCAAGAAGTAAAGATCAATCTCCAGTCTTAAGTTTCTTGATGAAGATTCACCAAGTTTTGTTGGCAGAAAATATGCCTTCCACTCTAACAGCACGTCGTTGGCCACACGCTACGTCGTTGGCCATCTAACGATAAAATAAACGCTGCCATTTAAATTGTATTCTAGTAAATTTGGTCAGCTTACACTTGTTTGTTTAGGAGAGAAAATATAGAAATACATAAAAATAACATGACTGGTTTTGCAAGAACTTGGTTTTTATGATTCCCATGTATGCTACGGGAAGTATGAAAAGCAATATCACGAGGTAAAACTATTTTAGGCCATTACATGCGGTACCGTCATTTTGAAAATATTATTCTTTATCAACGATATTGAAAATGTATTATATATTTTCTCATTTGCATTTTTCCCAGTGGCATTGGTGACTTTGCCTCTGGCATTCGGGTTACTTGGCGAGACGAGGTTTCAAACGACCGCTGGGTGGTGCTGGATACAGGCCTGCGGGATGCAAGAGGAGCCCAATGCCAAGGCTCTGCGGGTTGCCCTGATGTTTCTCACGGGGAAAGCCTGGGAGATTCTGTCAATCATCTGCATCTGTGTCATCTATGTGAAGATTAAGTTGAAGATAAAAAGAACGGTAAAAAGAATATACAGTATTTATAAAACATCTGCTATGAATCAGTTTTTTTACCCGATTTCACGATAAAATTAGCGGTTTCCTATTTTACTAAAAGGGTCCAACTTTGCATCCTAATTACGAAATTCTGCTATTTATGTTAACGTCATCGTTCATTCCGATTTTAAGTTATTCAGTTGATGCTCAGCTGCAGTTTTGCCAGTTTGCTGAACGGAAGTTTTCCATTTATCTGTCCTGATTTGGGTTGTCAGCGGGCACGTGTTCAGTGTTTACAACTGATACCAGATATGTATCAAAATACCACTGCCGCTATCTGCTGTTATCAGGATATTCTGGATAATGATAATATCAGTGAACCTATCGGGGCGTATGATTCTGTATTGTAAATATTTAAAGTCATAATAACTCTTCGTTTTGGCCAAAAATTGGATTTTCCTGGAAAAAACGGCAATTTTCCCGTACTTACCAATGGCCAACGACCCCATTCCTGCATTCAAAGTTAATCCAGGGTTTTTTTCCTAAACGTACGGTTTTTTGTTAAAATCTCTTAAGAGATTTTAACTGACGGAGCTCTCTCTGACACTGCAAAGTCACTGGTGACCTACTTAAAACCGCGGAAAAAGCAGACAACAACAACACTATATAAGATTCATGAGATATATTCGTCTTTTTGTTAAAAAATGCATTTATATCCACAATGTGTGCCATTCTGGGCTTTTCGTTATCCGACGCACTGTACAAAAACTCGCAACTTACGTCTGAGGGTTTCCCGCCATGTTATTTTGGTCTCGAATGAACGCGAGAATCCGCGTGACACCATTACGTCATTAGCAACGAATGCACTTGTCGACCGGAAAAAAAGGGATCGAAAGCCCTATTGAAAAGCACAGATTTTAGTTTTCCTACAATAACGGCCGTTTTAGTGGTAAAATACAATAGAATATATTTCCATGCGTTGTTTACAATGCATTTCATGCGGATTTTTGAATCTCAAAGGAAGAGTTATTATTGCTTTAATGTTCAGTATTATAAATTACAATGATTATTTGGATATCCCTGCTGGTTTCGTAAACATACAGTATTTGGTATGATAGGCACGAAAATGCAAAAATAAAAATAAAAATAATGGTCCACTACCTTTGAATTTGCCTGTCATTTTTACTGTCCCACAAAACTTCAATTTGTTAAAATATGAAATTCAGGCACTAGTTTACAGGACTACTTTGTAGTTCAAAATAGCTTTAGCCCGAAAATTGGTCACACCTTTTAGTCCAAAATGTTGGACCACTATAGTTCAAGATAAATCTACACCGATCCACGTGAAGTAATGGTCTGACACACCAGCCATGTGCTTATAGCTCAAAACAGACGCCAAACTTCATTTCAATGAACCGCTACTGAATTAGCCTTACCTGGATCAAAGTGGACTTGAAGATTGATTCCTACCATATTTACCATATTTATATTGGCAATTAAGACCTAGCCACTAATTTTCTTATTCATTTTGACATTCAGATTTTCCAAGTGCATCAAGTGTACATAGACGCCGATGCTTTGGAGGCCATCCGAAAGGCAAACCGGATGCTAGGGTGCGTCCCAATCTCCTTCATAGCGCTTCGCATTTGGGGGACCATCCGGTTCTTCCTGAACGTCTTTAACACTGGGATCCCAAACATGCACCTGTGTCAGACATTCTCCGCGATGTGTCAGGCCAATGTTGTGTTGCTGTACTTACAGGTAAGGATACACGGTGGAATGGCGGGTCTGGGAGAGAGAGAGAGAGAGAGAGAGAGAGAGAGAGAGAGAGAGGAAGAGACTAAGAGAGAAAGAGAGAGAGAGAGGAGGGGAAGGAGGTAACTCTATATGGAAAGAACAATTTTGATTTTAGCCTTACTTAACTTCTACTAACTCCGATTTGTTAACTTTCTCATACGCCATCCGTTTTTTCACCTACCTAAAGTTTATTTTAAATGTCGTTAATTTAGGCCATTGGAGACAACGCGCAGGGTCTAACCAACTGTGTATTCTTCTGCATCATGACTGCACCGATTCGAAACCGACTCTTCTGTTGTTTCACGGAGACTCCCCTCCGAAAGGCAAAACCTTCGGATTTGTCAGCCTTCACAAACAGTGACAGAGAGAGCACAGAAACTTTTCTACAAAATTCAGATTTTGGACCCGACAGGAAAGCGTCTGACACGTCAGACAAAGACAACTGGGATTCTACAGGTACTTCAGGAAGGGGATCGATAGGAGCGTCGGAGTCGGAACCCGAGCATGACATTACAGACTCTTCCCCCTTTCTGACCTCACCGGAACCGGAAATGGAACCTGAACTCACGCCGTTTCTCGGGAAAACCAAACCGAGGCTTGCGAGCAGACGACACAATAATTATGGCACTCTTCCCGTTCTCCCGCCACCGGTAGGTTACCAGTATACACCGCGGAGGAAAATACAAGGCGCAAACTCCAGAAAAATATAACATGCACATTTAAAATGAACCGCTAATGCATGAAGTACAACAATGTAGATATTGTCATATCAAAAGATTGTACATTATTTTCTGACATTTGCAAAGGCGTATATCACTTCATGACACCATATATAGACCAATATACAACAAAACGCGCCATGGTTGCATATGAACAACCTTTTACTTTCACTACAAAAAAAGCTTGATATCACAATCTCTTCAAAAAGGTATACGAGTGCATGCTTTGAGTGTAAAAAGTATCTTTCATCTGGAGCTTAGTTCGCCTACATCTACCACATGTTTTAGTAACAACAATCAATATTTCAATAATGGACACACTATCTTGCACTTATCAACTGGGAGTTTTAATTGTCATTGTTAAAATGATGTCATTTTTACACATCGCGTTGCCTCAAACAAGACAAACATTTGAGTTTATTTAGCTCTTATCCATTTCTGATTCCACTTTTAGTCGTGGTGCGCCCTGTTCGTCATTGACTGAAAGGAGTACTTATCATTAGTAATGTGTTTACATTCCCCATTGTCTTTCTTCAGCGTATTAAAAAGCGCTGTTCAACAGGCTATTCAGGGGATGTCAGTTGTTTGTTTATCAGATATCCCAGGAGATATACCAATACCTGTCAGTCACCCTGAATTACAAAGGACAATGGTAATTCACCTTTATATATCCTCAGCAGATGTTGGAAAAACATATAGCAATGCTGGTGGTAGAGAGGTGAGTTCCCAGTGACCTTTGAAATTTGACAACTTTAATTTAATGTATTTGCGGCCTTCTTGCGCTACAAGCACGACGTTACCCTGAGTTTGCTAGATTACTGGGACCGCACCTGTAATACCTGTTAACGTGCCTTTATAATACATCAGTCTTCAGTGACCCCCGGAACCCCAGCGTGAAAAAAATTGAACACATTTTGGCACATTGTGGTGAATTGATTGAAACATTCCAAACAGCAACATGAGTGTGCTCTTTTTTCCTCTTAAATCTTAATATTACCTCACAGAAGAAGGAACATACGCTGTTTATTTTAAATATGAAATTTAAGGACTGTTTCACAGCACGCATGTATACAAATGTATACAAACCCAGGGGATGTCACAAAGTGTCATGATTAAAAAAATTAGTACGTAAGCTGTTGAAGGTTTTTAACTTTCTTATATCGCACACACGTCACCAGGCTTACGACTGAAGAGACCCCTATCGGACATTTTCGTTACCCATTTAAAGCAACTTGTTTTATTTCCCGAAATGCATGAAACGCTCAAAGTATTTTACGTGATCTGTAATGTCCCTCCAGTGACTGGTGAATGGGGCCCTTTATTCTTCATCATTCGTAAACCTTTTTAAAAGCAAGCGCTCTGTGGCTCCAAGTCACAAACGACAAGAATCGTTTTTGAGGTCTGACGTACTGTAGATAGGGGGCTTTTTCATTGGAACTGTGACCGCCTGGCGATAAGGCAAGGATAGATTAAGATGATGCTTTCACAATTTTAATTCAAATTTACAGCTACAATTTTTTCATGTAAATTGCTGGTTGATGCTAGGCAACTTAAACGAACGGCAACTAAATGTTCTGTAACTTACTATGATTGTGTTAGAAGAGCTCTTACTAAGACACCCCCCCCCCCCCCACCACCACCACCAGTGTAGAGTTTTGTGGGAATCATGAATGAAAAGAATATGATGCTTCGTGGAGGAAGATTAATGTGCAAGTTTTCTGAAAGACTTTTTTTTATTCTAACCCGAGGTGGACGACGATCTGATGACCACTTGCAAACACGTTCTGTTACTGTAAAACATGGATCTGTAAGCAATGGATCAATCGGAACGTTTTCTGGTAAATTTGTATGAAATTACATCTACAAACGCTCAAAGTATATGTCAATATATTCGTTATTCTACAAATGACACTGTTCTACAACTTTGTCGTCTTTAACTTAAGGTTTTTGCGACCTTCTTGCACTAACGCCGATTAGGTGCAATTCCTGTTTTTTTTTTTTTTTTTTTGTGTACGAACCACTGACACGTCATTATAAAGTTGGGACAGTCCAACACAAAGATATTTGTAAATGACACAAAGATATTTGTAAAGGAATACATTTATTAAGAATGAATTTATTAAGAAAATGGTTTTAAGCTACTAGCGGTTTGAAAGTTATTGACTTGGATATTCACAGAGACGTTTAAGTTAAAGCCAACCCTAAGACGAGTGACATGTGTTTTAAAAGAGTAATAGTCAACACGCGAGCTTATTTTTGTTCCATACGCAAAGCTAACATACAACCTCACATTAAATAACACTTGGTCTTACGCATGTACAATACACAATTCTGATTTCTGGGATACCAAAACCATGAAATACAAATGTACATGTATTCTGACACATTGTAGGCAGGTAGCTGCTTGTTTTCTAAAGGACTCTTGATTCACAACACCACAGTACAAATAATATATTCAAATGACATGATATTAAATGTGATATTTAAAACTTACATGCAAGAATAAACAATATAAAACATAGAAAGGAACGGTATCATAAATACAATTATACATGACGATCTATTATTTTATTCATTTATTATTTATGTTATCTTTTTGGTGTCTTTGTCTCACTCTGGTCTCAACCCTATCCAATGACACCAGTCAACTAAGCCCACCCTTGCAGTGGCGGATTTAGAGGGGGGTCAGGGGGGTCCTGACCCCCCCTCCCCCCCTTCGATTTCTGGTCCCCTCTTGAAATTAGATTTTTGCCTAGCTGAAACATAGTTCTAAACCGTACCAGATGGCATTTCGCGCATCGGGCCCCGAACCCCACGCCAAGTCGGGGTGTTGTGTGGGGGGGGGAGGTCGGCTTCGCATCCGCGGACCCCCAGTTGGGCCCATCCCTTCAAATAATCCTGGATCCGCCACTGCCTTGCATCCGCCCCAACCTCCCCCATGCCTTCTTAATTTGACATTATGCCCCGAACAATATATTCCGGGCATTGTGAATTTTTCAACAATCTTGCTGCTACCAGTTTCATTTAAGAACATATTGTTACAGACTAATATCAATGAGATTTACCGGTATCCAACAACTTCCCTACTCCCAGACAATCAAACCAACCCTCACATTCAAATGGCTATAGTTTCTGCAGTTAAAGCACTTTATATAAAAGGGACATTCCACGGGATTTCCTCTCCGAAATGGATTTTCAAAGGAAAATAAAAAAATATTTTACTCACCAATTATTAATATTTCGCTCTCTGCACTTGGATTTGACCCTTAATTAATTTATAAAGGTCGATTTAGTTTAAAATAACTTGCCAGTCATTAAACCAGCGACCATCTTCCTATGTAAATATCAACATCAAGTACCTTCCAGAAAAATATGTGAGGGATTAAATGGTTTTTAAGGTATACGTGAGGATTTATAAGAAAGCTGAGGATTGCAAAAAATAAGCATTTGGGGAAATTTTCGAACCCATGGAGTGTATAATTTTATAATTCACTAAAAAGATCAGGCAGTCAATAAAGTGTATAATAAATCTTTCTTAAATGTGCATTTGACTATATCACATTTAGTCGACGAGTATTTACAGTCAAGTCGTAAAAGAAAGAACTCAATACATTATTTGATAAATTAACTCTATCGCACATTTACATTGTTTGCTCACACCACAGGCGCTATTTCCCGTATATTTTCAACACTGCCTACTCTTTGGGTTCTAATTGACATATGGTTTGGAATAGTAGTACATGGTGGAAAAATGCTCCGAATCTATTAATAGTACGGTCCCGAATAAACATACAGAGTGGAAATTTGTTAGCCAATAAAGAACAAGAAATCTTATCACGTGTAAGAGTGCGACTGGGTGTGATTGCGTTCTGCTGCCATAATCTTAAGTAAATACAGGGCGTCCCCATGCTGGATTACGCTTGAGTCTTAAATGAATCATTATACGTATGTGGTGCACGAACAGATCTGGGGAAACTCGGATATTTAAGAAGAGTACATTCTTGAATAAGTCCGTACAGTGTGGATTATTTGTCCAAATAAATACCCGTACATGTACGGCAGTTAGGAACCAGAGAGTATAGGCCTCCTCTTGTACCTACATATAAGTGGTCACCACCTACAGTCAATATACTTGGACACTGACTAAGTAAATAGCCCCCTGCTTTGAATAAATCGTCAGAGTTAATTGCAATTAAAACAAAGATTTATAAAATGCTCTCTTTTATTTGGTCCTGCTGATCCAGCGTCATTTATCAATTTATGGTATTGTGTCTTATTTTCTCTGTGGAGGTGAATATCAGTAAAGAAATCTGAATCTGCAGACTCCTATGGCCCGGGCAGAGAGTACGTTTCCCCGCAAGCACTCCCAGCAGTCTCACCTTCAACTCCACTTCCGGTTCCAGTTCTTCCTCTTCTCCTTTCACCTCTTCCCTTTCTAGGCTTTGCTTTATCATTTCCTTCGCTCACATTACTTGGGCCTTTTTCAATCACTTTCTCCTCGGTCCACGTAGCAGCGTACACGGCGTTGCGATTCAGTCGTGGACGCCTTTTCCAGAGACATTTTAGGTTTCTTCGCATAGGTCTGGCGTGTCGATCAAAAGATAAGCAATCTGATACCACGATGCTTCCGGTGAGACATAGCAAAATCAAAATACCTGTGATACCGTAAAACGGTCCCTGTGGTGACTCTTTTGGTGGGGTAGTTTTCCTAGAGGACTTCGGCATGGCAAATGCGTTCTTCACCTCGGACTGGTCTGTGAACAACAAAAAAGTGAAAATAAATTCAATACTGAACTACTGTAAAATTAGAATTAAGGTGTACTAAGTAAAAATTAATTTTAAAGTAAATTGATTTAAATATTTTGGAAACAGTCTTAAGGTTTATAGAGATGTATCGTTTAAAACACAAGCAAGGGATGCAGATCATAATTACCTCCGCCAAGGAGGTCATATTTTCACCCCTGTCTGTTTGTTTGTTTGTCTATCTGTCTGTCTGTCTGTCATCGACATAACTCAAAAAGTTATGGACTGATTTTGATAAAATTTTCAGGAACTGTCAGAAGTGGGCCAAGGAACAGATGATTAGTTTTTGGAGGTGATCCGGATCAATAATCAATCAATAATCGATCAATAATCAATAAGAATGAATATTTATGGGCGAAACGGCATTGGGTGGAGACTTTGCTGCTTGGTGGAGGTCTGCGCTCTCGTTATTATTATCAATGATCCCGCAATTACAATAACACGGGCACACATTTTAATTACTAAATTGTAAGCGTTACTTAACTGTAACACTCCATCAACTCAGGCTCCCATTGGCCGTGACCATAACACGTGGCTATCCGCTGGCGGTCCCCCATGGGAAAAACTTTGTTGGCCCTGCACCAGTACCGAATCTTGGTGCCATACATGTAGCTTGTGCTATTGTAGGTTTCTACCTCCACGCTTGAAGAGTTCAGCAACTGATCTGTCGGGCAGATGACCACTGTAAAGATAATTTAACATTTAAAACCAATACTTGATCGATTGAAAGATAATTTTGACTAATACTTTTG